TGATGTACTATAAATTACATTTATATGACTTTGTTAAGTTTTTTGATTTGATTCATAAGGAGGAAGTTAAATCTTAAACTATATAATTTTTTAACCTCGTTTATCAAACTATAATCTATGACTATATTTAAATATTTTTCAATACATTCATACATTATGATTTATGACAAAAAATTGATTATGCGATTCAACGATCATACAATATTTATTTTTTTACCTTTCTATGTTGTTTTTTAAACATAAATTAAATGAATTACAAGATGTCCTATAATATACAGCCAAGTACCAATAGCTCGAATTTTAAGGAGAATATGAATAACTTAAAAAAATAAATTTAACGAACTAATAACTAAACATTTAAGTATAATGATAATTGATAACGAATAGGTACCAACAAAATATAAATAAAAACCATAGCGCGTTACATTATAATATAACCAGTCATAAATCATAATTGAATTAAATTACTATGAAAAAATGTTCTCTGTATGAGGTAACAAACACATGGAAATAACACGTGTTTTAAATACAAATGAACTACACGTCTTATTCTGATCAAAAAATCGACATTATTTTTATAGACAACTTAAAATTATTTAAGACTTTGTATTTAGTAATCTAAGTTATAGACATTAGTAATTAGTTTTACTCATTATTTACATCATGTTAATTAATTGTTAAGTTAATATTATCAAACGAATTAAAAAAAAAAACAATAATTTTCATAATAATTTCATGTATTGATATATTAATTTAAATATATGAAATAGTAATAGGCAGGGCTAGCGCGTGAGTTCATGCTCTAAAAAGTGCCTAAATAAGTATGCACTTATGCACTAAAAGCTGGGAAAATATGCATTGAAATATGCCTTTAAAAGTTCAGACATATTACTAATAGGTATGTCGTATGTGTCTTTCRGCTATTGTATTATTGTTTAAAATATAGCGGATAGATTGATAAAATATAGTAAATTGTTTAATAACGTTAATTTATAGGTATACTATCTAAAAGTTATGTGGGTATTATTTAGTAATTTTCAAGGTTGTGCTGACGTTAGTACACGAAGCATGATTAATGTAGAATGGTTTMAGAGTAAGTGTACGGAAAGCAACATAATATTATGTGTGGATTCTATCTTAAATAATCTATGTAATATGTATGTATGTATGCATGTCTCTGTAGTCTATACCGAGGGCTAAAAACAAATTAAATAGTATTCACAATGCAAGCATTTTTAATATATATTTCATAAGAGCATAAGTAAAACATATATATATAGTGACTTGAAATATTATAATTTCGTATTATTGAACGTCGGAATTTACTGTTACGACTGTCAAATGAATATACATATTGTAGATAAGTGTTAAATCAATTATTAAAATTAATAAATGTGGTCAGTGGAAAATTATTCAAGGGTTAGGATACAATTAAAATCTCATCAGATTCTTTCGGATGTTATARGTATAATAATATATTATTTACCTATTTATAATTTTTATTTTAAATTAGAAGTTTATTGATGGAGTRTCAATATTATTACTTGAATGTACTTACTATTAACAAAGTAGTGATGTAGGGTTAAATAATATATATTATATTATATAATTTAATAAAATTTAATTTTTATTAAATATTAATACATTTATAGATAAATACGTTCAAATATAAAATGTATGACTAAATAATTTAATATAATTTAGGTACCCTGTGTTCAATACACTTGTTAACGGTTAACCAAACGAGTGACAAATTAAAATGCACAATGAAGATGAATTAAATGACAACGCGCTTAGCATTGACCTCACTCAACATGTTGGTGGTGTTCCCACGATCACAATTTCCACACCAAAGCACAGGCACATGATAATCACTGCACAACCAAGTCATGTTCGTACAGTCTTTTATACAAAATTTCGCAATTTTTGTGTTTTAAAATACATAAACATATTTTTTTAAATATGGCTGTACGACCAAGTCAGGTGGGAAAAACTTAACAGGTACAAACATTTTATTACTGCGATTTCCTACAGCGAGATTTTAGAGTACATTTTAAGAGCCACACGGGTGTGTAATGTACATGTACATGCGCCGAAAAAATAACACCTGGCTACCGGCCGGCTCTCGTCACGTATACCGATGGAAGAACGTGTGTGGCAGCTGCAAAGCCTTACAACATCTGTCACRGTTTAGATCTCAATGTGTTTATAAGTTATAACCACCGATAAAAAGAAAACTATCGAATAGAATAATATTTTTTTCCACCGTCATCATAAAAATATATAGGTACGAATAGTATTTTTAAAACGTTATAAGTTTTCAAAACAAAAGTAAAAAAAACAATAAATGATATATAATATGATGTTCCAAATATATCAATCAACACAAATAACCAATAGATTACACCTATATAATATTATAGTACTTATTATGTAAGGGTACATGCAGCGAGTTACATATTATTATAATAGTATAYTATACAGCAGACATTTTAAGAAATAATTATTTAGCATAATAATATTRTATTTAATAATATTGATGTTTACTGCCAAGTTTATATTATAATACTACATCTTTATTATTTATAGAACCAATAACATTTTATATTAAAAAATAATTTATGAAATATACATATTACGTTTAATATTATTTTTACTTATTAGTTATTACTTTATTAGTTATTATTACATATAATACATTGTTTATTTTAACAGATGATTTGATGACAATATTTTAATTTCAAAGTTCTAATAAACCAAAATAATTTATCAGCTAGGTTCATAATATTATGAATACAAATTGCAGGGAAATCTTTGAGCAAACTTATTACATACATGAATCATGAATTTATCTTTTAAATTAAATATCTAGAAATAAAATTGTGTTATTGTTATAAAATATACTCGTAGAAATATAGAAAAAAGTGACAAAAACGAGACAAGTAATACTATTCTGTAAAAAAGTAAATTGACCGAGTGTTGGCGTTTATCAAGTTCGTCTAGTCTTCTTTTGGTGGCTCAACAAGTATAAAGTCACCTCGGTTTAGGGTAAAACTATATTATCAAGTATATTATTGTTGTATATTAGGAGTTTAACTTAAAGCTTATAATTATTAACTATCGATTTTTACAACGATGATATTTTAATTTTTAAGTCAATTTCAGTCTGTACACAATGTCAGACCTAGCATCATGGTAGTTTGTGTTGTATACTTAAAATCCTTGATTGTAAATTTTGCTATCAAATAATATATTTTAATATTTCACTTATTGTAATGAATAATAATTTAATAACATCTTAAAGTTTAGAAAAGTTGAATACCAACATACTTTATTTAGAATATTCAGCCTATATTTAAATATCATGTTCGATATGAACTATACATTAGTATATTACCATCATCTAACGAGAAATTACTAACGACTGACTCACAGACTCATTCTCCTCCCCCAGAATATCTATTGTTCCATCAAATTTGAAAGTCAAATAGTAACACGGGCATCGTCGTTGAAACTAATTACTGTTATTATTTAAATGTACGTGGACGACGATATTTTTTTTAGTAAACGTAAAACCATTCTAAGAACAATAAACCAAGTGATTACATGAAACGCGGTCGAGCATAACGTAATTTATGATATATATGTTGAACACACACAGTTGTAAACGAAACGGTTTGAATCTTTTATTTATATTTAGAAGTGGATTTTTAATTTTCTTGAAATTTCCATCTTATAATTAAAATAATATATACCTTTAACTAAACCTGTAACCTATTTCATTGGTTATATAATTATAGGTACTAATTTTTTATTTAATT